AATTAATTCTGGTTTTTGAGTTTTTCCGCGCATTGTATGCTGTATCAAACTGCGCTTTAATTAAATTAATTCCAATAGATTGCATTCCGTGCATCTAATTAATGCGTTAATGTTTACAAACTGAGTTTGTTATTGTATCGACGCATTATGTGACGCTAATAATTACCAGAAAAAAATAATTTAACAAAAAAACATTACAAAAATTCAATTACATGTACTTTGAATTATTTTGCAAGATTTGTGTATGTAAATATTTTTACTATAATTTTGTTAAACGTCACTCTTCGTTGGAGAAATTAATTGCTCATACATGATCGCATGCATAACTCAACGTATATCGTCGTGCATAGCCAAAGGCAGGTCTCAACAAAATTAAACAATACATCGTTCAACAAATATAATTTATAAAAATACGCCGTTGCCTTTGGCGCTACGCGCGACAGAGAAAATGGTCGGCCGTCACCGATTTAGTAGTTCCTGTGTGATTGTCTCGTTCTCAATAACTATAGATATTTATAGCTTTATCATTATAAATAGTAAATAATATAATATTAATTTTAGTCTTGAGAAGATTGCGTGCGCCGAAATTATACGCGCTAATCTAAAATCGATTCTTGCACATGCGAGAATTAAGTAAAGTGATAAAAAATTGATTAAAATTGATTAAAATTGATTAAAATTAATTAAAATTGATAAACTAAAAAATATATAATTAATTAAATAATATTAAAAGCGGTATTCACATAATCTTATATTCGAGATTGTCTTAAGTACGATCTCGAGACGCTGTACACGATCTTGAATATAAGACCGATCAACGAATACCGGTCTAAGAGATCTTCATCGACAGTCTCGCGCATGTAATCTCGGCGACGTAATCACGCGCAAAGCGTATACAATTTCCGTTCGTCTTATCGTATACTGTTTTCATCCGTCGCATGATGATCGCGATTAATTTCCCCGACGAGAAAGTTCGCGCGACTCGCGTCGGAAGGACTCGATGGATTTCAACGGCCAAGGAATCCTTCTCTACGCTTCCCTCCCTTCGCAGGAGGGGGAGGGGAAAAGGTCGACGATCGTACGATCGATTGGCGCGCATCTCACGTAGAGGAGCCTGTGCGTTCGCGCGACGCACGTACAATGTAACTTACGAAATTTGAGTAATCCTTCCGATTCAATCAGGACAATAACTATACTGACTTTTCTCGCACCTGAGTCTTTCGGTATACGTGGGTTATCTTTTTTTTTTTTTTAGTTTAGTATACTAGAACGCCGATCGCGCGAGGCACAACCGTACAACGCTGACGTCCCTCTTTAGCAGGAAGAATTTTGGATGGTTCGTACAATCTCTTGAGAATCGCATCTCTCTCTCGCGCGCGGAATCCTATCCGTCGGAATTATTCCTGAATAAATTTTTTCGAGTGGGATATGTTGTGAGAGGAACACCGATGCGTTGCCGACGCCGCCGCTCGGCTCCCGGCAGGAGCAATTGTGTTAATATTAAAACTTTTATACAAGATTTGCGTGTATGCGAGTGTATTGAAAATATTGATAAAATTTTTGTCTTACGCTCTTTTTTTTCACCTTCTTCTCGCTCCCTCTTCTTCTCTACTCGTCGTCCTCTCATTTCGCTCGGCCGATCGGAGAGAATGGTACCCCGAATGATCCATCCTTCCGAACGAACCGCGTCGTGTCTCGATCGTCGAGAGATCAACGAGACACGCGTCCTCGTGTGACGCATGTGACGTTAACGAGGGGCGTTTTTTTTTTTATTTATTATTTCGTACCCTTATTCGTCGCGAAACCGCTCTCTCACGTATAATCGACGTTTTAATTTCATTAAAAAAATTTTTTTTTCTTTTAATAAACATGCTTTGTCTGGCGTATCGCGTTGTAAAGGTCTCTCTCGGAAATTCATTCCCTTCCTTCGAAAAACACTCTTTCCCCTCGCTCCTGTTCCCTCATTCGCATGTTCGCGCGCGTTTCTCTCTTTTCCTTACTTTCTATCATCGTTTGCTCGTTAACGTATTTACGTATATCAGGGACGCGCGTGCGGTAAGATTTGTATAGAAATATAAAGATTCCTCCAATATAAATCGTAAACGGGGGAATGAGGGACAAGCGATTGGAAGAGATAAATGTACATTGGAAATTGATTGCATTCTATTTCTTCCTTCGTTCGATTGCGCATTCGGAACTAATATGCTATCGGACAAAAAAGACAATAATTTTAACAAAGGCGTATGACGAATTGTACGGAGTAACGAAAATATCCGGAATGTTGGACTCGACGACGAAAAACGAGCGCATGGGAGGATAAAGAGCGCGACAAAGATCGAAAGCAAAAAGATGAATTTTTGCTCGAATTCGCAAATGGCCGTAACAATGATCACGAGTGAATGTATATAGATGCATAAAGGAACATGTAAATATGGGAAAAGTGATATCGTGATGATACAACTAGGATCTTCATCGATGAAAACATATGATAAGGAAAAGACTTTTCTAACGTGAGTTTGCTGCTAATTGTTTAAGAAGGGGAATATTGACGTAATTACAGAAGAAGGGCCAAAGCACATATGACAGTCGTAGTCGTGGACGTAAGTAACGCACAAGCTTTGGCGTATCCTGATCTGTCAGGTCGGGGACTACGACCGTCGTATATCGCTACGCCATGTTATGTGCTTTGACCCTAACGCTCATATGTACGAGCATCTCGATGATCACCTTTCGTTTGCTTTCGCACGAATAATGGGCTACTTTGGCGCCATACACCCGTCAATCGATGAATATGCGATTTATAAAAAATATTGCGAAGGAAACAAGGGCTAATTAAGAGCCATTCGTTATTTTCGATGCGAAAGATTTATTCAATCATTAATTAGTTCGAACGTTTCGGTCTTTGTTCAGACTATCTTCAGCATATGATAAAATGTGTGGCAAATTAATCGACGAACAGTAATCATCTTACGAATGACGAGGAATATCTATAAGTCTCCAAATAATAGCAACAGGCACATTGTCTATCATCTACATAAGACGTAGAGACAAGCGGATTCTCGATTCGAATTCATCGCTTATTCGTAATCTGTAAGATATATCAACGGTTGGACAATTAGAACTGCTGCATTTCTCGATTCAGTCATCAAGAATAATCTCGTTATTATTTTCTGATATTACAATATTTATTACAATTGATAAAATAATATAATTTGCCCAGTTAAATTTCTTATAAAGACAAAAGTAGACAATGTCTCTTATAACACAGTTATTATGGATTGCTATTTTCGGGATTTTAATCTCAGATTGTCACTCCCACACATTTTATATAAGATATATTTAGAATTCAACAACATCTCCATCCTTTGTGGCGGGAATCCATAGGAAACTTATAGATATTCCTCGTCATTCGTAAAATGATTACTGTTCGTCGATTAATTTGCCACACATTTTATCATATGCTGAAGATGGTCTGAACAAAGACCGAGACGTTCGAACTAATTAATGATTGAATAAATCTTTCGCATCGAGAACAGCGAATGGCTCTTAATTAGCCCTGTTTCCTTCACGATTGGATTTCCAACAGAGCCTCTACTCAACGATAAAAAATATTGTTTTATCAGGGTTCCAAATTCCCGTTGATCACTTCAACTAATCGAGATCCATTTCTTCAAGAATTCGAAAAAACTTGTTATTAGTTATAAATTCGATGTAGATCGTATTTTCACGGTCACAAGTCATTTTGAAAATTTCGATAAACTATTATGTAGTAATGACTGTTACTCTTGAGTTGAGTTTTTTCGTGATCATCAAAGAGCCGTTGAGCACAACGCTGTACGGAAATGATAATGTCGAACGGAAACGGGGAAAGAAATAATAAATAGAGACTCACTGACGTGAATCTTTAACGCTGCAAAAGCTAAATACAAATGCGTGCATTTTCGAGCCGTAACAGAACGTTGCATAACGCTAGTGCATAATAGGTACGCAAAGTTCCATTATTTTCAATATCGGCCATTCGTTTTGTCAGGCCAATCCCTGTCTTTCTTTCCTTGTTTCACTCACCTTCTTCGACATCTACATTTTCGCAGAATCTCGTTGAAAATGAAAGAAGAAAATAACGACAAAAACGAATTGTTCTTCGCGATCGATTGTCCGATTCTTTATTTCCTCACTCTCCCTTTTCCCGTAGCAAAAAAAAACCAAGGCAAGTCAACGCGTGCTCGCAGAACGATTCTCCCAATCGAATTTCGCCCACTCCCTCATCTTATTTTCACACAATTGAATTAACTATTTATACAGAATATATTATAATAAAAGCTGCGGTGTGTACCTCCGTTTAATTATTCTTATGATCGTGGGAGAGTATGTTCTGTGTACAAGTATAGGGGTGTGTCTGTATATATGCCTGTGTCTTTTCACGAAGCTGAGAGAATGTATAGATGTATGTGTGTACGTGTCTCTGTGTATGTATGTCACTTACGCTGGAGCGGGGGTTGGATTGGGTTGGGATTTTAGAGGGTAGGATTCTCAGAGGGATATTGCTGCGTCATCGAATGCACGACAAAGAGCGCCAATCTTCTCTCTTCTCTCACTCTCTCATTCTCTCACTCTATCACTCTCTCGCTCTCGCTCACTCTCTCGCTCTCACTTTCGTTCTCTTTCTCTCTTTCTCTTTCTTTCTTTTTCATTGATATCTATATCTCTGTTTTTTATTTATTTATATCTAAAATCCCTCAGTACGTTTATTCGTGTATTCTCTCACTCGCGCCACTCGCATCTCCCGCTCTCCTCTCTCGATTTGCGCGGAAATTTTCTTGTGTCTAGTACGCGTCGGTAATATACGATAATCGTCCCAGTCCAACTACAACGCTCGACTTATATTACAACCGGGGCCACACGTTTTTTTTTACTCTCCGTTATGTATATGTATATATCTATATATATATTCATGTATATATATTCATTTATATATATGTATATATATATAATATATTTTTCCATTAATTAGTAAATTCATTTATAATTAATAACTGTACAAATTTTAATGTTTCCTATATATATATGCAATTGAATGGTCGACGCTCGAGTCCGGCACACGCGTCGATGTCATTCGACCTAATTCTCCGCCGCATTTGCGTTCGTTTTTACTTTTATATACCTTTAAACATCTCCCGTGCCATCTAATAATTTTCTTTCTCTTTTCATCCTCTGTGTCTTGCTATTTATATTTATTTATAATATATATATGTATACATACATATATATATATACTGCTTCGTATTTTTTTTCTTCGTATGTCTCTCGTACTCTCTTTCTTGTACCTCTCTTGCGTCGTCTGTGCACTTGAACATATTCTATATTCCGTGCGAGCACCGGGTGTATTTGCCTCTTCTTTTTAATGTACATGCCCGCTAAAATTGCCTATATATCACTTATATTTCATTAATATATCTCGATCGCGACCGTATTAAAATTTAACATTTAAATTCTTCAATCACTACAATATTACACCGCAATATTTGTACAAAGAACAATCACATGAATTTCTTCGCGGCCGCGTCACTCTCGAGACCAAGCCGCGGCTTCATTCCCCTTCGTGTCCTTTCTTTCCTCGCGTCGCCTTCCGCAGCCACTTCGCTCTGTCCTTCTTCCTTCGACAATTCCACGATCTTCCTCTCGTCGGCTTCTCGCGGCGTTTCATCTGCTTTGTCCTTTCTTTCGGAGACGGGAACCACTTCGCTCCTTCGTCCTTCTCTTCCCTCGTGTCTTTTTCCTCATTAACCAAGCACCCAAACGTCCACGCATTTCGTCGTGCGGCGTAGCAAGAAATCATCGGGACTACCATGGTGATCGTCCTGGAGGTCACGATTCATCGTTGTCCTCCGATTCTGATCTACGCCAACTGGAGCACGATAGGTCCGTCACGCTTTTCGTGTCGCTAGAACCGTCGTTTCACCATCCATTCCACTTTGCAAGTACTCCTGAAACATCCGAGGTTGACGATCCTCAGTCTAACGCGAAGACATTATTTCAATATTAAAATTAAAATATGTAAAACATTTCTATTTTATTCATAACTTTATCAATGTGTGTTTTTCTTTATAAAATCTCCCTCTTTCTTACTCTGAGATCTCTCACATAAATATAATATATAAATGATTGCTTGTATTATAACTGCTATTTTTGAATGAATTAAATAAGATAATTGAGATGCTCAGTGTTAGAACAATCGCAAATCGAGCAAAACATCTGAATTGTCATAAACAACCCCAGACTTTCCCAGGATTATATATAACTCCTTCCCATAAAAATTTCCATTATAATGAAATGAATTTGGAAGCTTTGGCCATTGTAATGAGATGAAACAAACGTACATGGGCTAATTCATAATCCGATGTGGAATTGATGAAAGTGATAATCGGAATATCAGTGTAACACAACAAACCTTTATAAGTGATGTCCGTAGTATTCTGGGTAATGGTACTGATTGTGAAAGGTAGGATCGCCGGGCGGTCGGTGCATCATGCTGGCCTGTCCGTCCATCATGTAGCCCATCGTCGCATCCGGACTGTATGCCCCGCTCGGTCCTGCGGACAATGGTGGAAACACTACACATTACTACGGTTAGATCTCTGTTCCGTAATTGGCAGGCGGGTACTGGACAAGCTCGCCGTGACCCCTCCCAAAGTTCTCGAGGAACTCGAGACCTCGATGCCCACTCGATACTCAGTCTCCTCATCTCAAAGAGGTGGGATGAGGGAGATCGAGAGGAACATCCAGGGGGAGCACGGCGAGCTGTGTGATGCGATTCACCAAAGTCACGATCACATCTCTGATAATTTCAGAAACTTATATCGTAAGCTCATAATGTTCTCAGCTTTCTCAGCGAATTCGTTTGATTCATATTTTTGTTTGGCATATTGCAGAAAGAAAAAATAATACAAATTAGCTTCTTCTGATATAATTTTTTGATAAAAGTGTTAACAATTCAAAAACATTAAACAATAAGAACATTTTTGTAACATAAAATATATAAAACTTAGTAGTAATATTATTTATAATTTAATGACGTTCATAATTTGCTCGTGACATTGATAATATCGATATGTGTGGTGTATGTGTTTGTATGCCTGTATATTGTATATGTGTATGTGTGTATGTATAGTGTCTTTTATGAATATGTGTGCCTTTTTATTAATATTAATATTTTATTAATCATTGATTAAAAGCTTCTTGATATTCTCGCAATTATAATTTTCTTTTTATAATCGGTAACATCAATAATGCATCTGGTCGTTAGCAACAGTCAATGTGAATAAATTGCTGCGGTTTTCGTGATTGCTAATGAGCGTCATGAGCGAGGAAAGACTGATTCGACCGCGCGCAAATAACCGATCACCATTAATTTCAGGAAAATATCGAACGTATCAAGTGCAGCTGAGAATTCAATCTCGCCCCGAGCATTTCGATGCAACGTGACGACAGCTTCTCCTCTGTCCTAAGCGGTAATGGAGCCTCGGAATCCATGGGAGACTCCCCTAGTTTTAATGTCGGTATCTTAATGTATATTGCCACGATAAATCAAGGGCACTGATTGCGTCCTACCCTCTACCGCCAGTGAACGCTCAACCGAAGCTGACGACACGAGCGAGATGAAGACAGAGAGAATGAGACGCCGGGATAAACGAGTGTCGCTGAGATCCGCGACACTCCAGGGTCCGACTGCTATTGTGAAATACTTCACTAAGCTTTTCATATGCTAAAATTTCCCTTCCTCAACTCGTATCCCTCGATATTACATGTAGTTTGTCACTATAGACTTATCCAGTTATCATAGACTTATCTACTTCCATACATTACTGACTGTAATCTTAAAACGATATATCGATATATGCATATTGGAAACGAAAAAGACCGTGTAATATTTCATTCTAGGATCTAACACATCGTCATAAGACGCGTCAATATCAGTCAGCACTATCTTGGGTATATTTAATGTTGATAAGAAACTGGTTTCTCCATGTGTCGCCAGGCATAATTACGGGCTTTGCTAATTAAGCCATCGGTTCCGGAAGGTCGCGGAAAAGAACGCCAATTAAGACTCGCACCCGTTGGGACTACTACAGGGACATATATACGAGGCCGATCGACGCGAGAGGGGGTCTAGTATATCGCGGTTTCTCACGGTTCGCTGGATTTTCCATCAGCGATTTGTCAAAAAGCAGGAAGCCCGCAATCTCGCTTCCTCCCTTCCTCCCTCGCACGCCGTACCCCGGCCGTCGCCTTTTTCTTCATCTTCTCGTCTCGCCGACGAGTTCTTCTGCCTCGCGAAATACGTCGCCACTGCACCGTTTCAAACGAACTCTCCGCGCTTTACTTTGCTAGCGACCAAATCGTAAATCACAATTATTGCGAGCGTCCCCCTTCGTTCGAGCTCTGTCTCTTTCTTCGGTTTCCTTAGGAGTGTTTTTCAACTGTGCGCGCAACGCTCTTCGATATAGCTATAGTGCTCCCCGTTTCCTCCTTGCTTCTTCGGCAAGTACGATCACTATAGATCCAACTACATCGGTAACGCGAGACACTCAGGGTGACGTGAATGTTTTCGCGGCGATTCAAAGCCACTCCAAAAACGCGGAAATATATATTTATCAAAGTATTACTCGAAGTTTTACAAAAACGATATTTTGTTACGTAAAAAATATTAATTCTCTCTTTGCATCGAAATTTAAATTTTGTAATCATCTTAAATTATAAAGATTATAGGGATGTAAGGAAAAAATAGAGTAATTGAACAGCTTTTATAAAATAAATCAAACGACAATGCTGCAAAATTTCCACTTTGTGGTAGAAAGATTGTATTACCGTTCTCAACGAAAAAAAAATCGCGGACAAGAGATTTATTCGATATCGTCTAATGTCTCGCTTCAACAACCTGAATCTCTCCGACTCGCAATTCGTGTAAAGCGTAACGGCGTCAATTTGCCTTCCATTTCTCAGCTGTAGAAAAGTCAAAAGGTTATTACCGATTTCGCAACGGCAGCCAGCGCGAGAGATCTAGACGCCGCGCCGCTCCCGCGCGGTGGAAATGTCTTGCACGGTATGCCGCGTCTCGCGATGTAGTATACGCCACGTGGAATGTAGCCTCATATTATAGCCACCACGATATTCCGCTAACGAGGGATGCGCGCTTGTAGTGTGATTAAACCGCGCTATAACGCAGCGGGGCGTCCTGGGATAGCCGAGACGTCGAGCCACAATATGGGAAATTAAGGAATCGCTCTTCTCTCTTTGCAGCGATGCAACGTCGACGGGAGAGGCTACGAGGAGAGAGACCCGATTGGGGAAAGGCTGAGGGGAGAACGGAGGGGCAACCTGGTGGTGTACCCGCGAGGATTCTTCTCGCAAAGCCGTCCCTTTCTATGCCCGCAAATTACAAGTCGTTAAGACTCGTGGCGATGCACAGCAAAGTGTCTTGAAACAAAATGCGATTAGGTTTGATTTAGATCAGATCAATTATTCGCGCGATAGGAAAGTTTCTCGCGTGGCGATACAAACGCTAGATAACGATGTATTAATATCTACCATGTGAGATTATATTAAATCTTAGTGAAAAATAAAATTTGATATATAAATTTAATTTTGTTTAAATGATTTAAATATAATGTTTATGTTCTCATATTGTATGATAAATAACAAATTGCTATTGTGAGTGTATAATGTTTGGATGTGCAATATATAATATTAAAAATTGATGTAAATAATAATTCTCCGATTATATATACATATAACCGATCGAGTCTCATACCTAGTAATAAAAGAAATCTACGTCGGATTTATCTAGAGATAAAATCGGAATCTATAAAAGCGTCCCGGGAATTTCCTGTGAATAAATCACGAGTCGCATTGCGGAGGATCAAAGATGAAGATCGCGTACTCGGATCCACTATATGAAACCTTTGAGCTATCGCCTCGTTACGCTTTAATAAACAAAGGCGAATTATCGCCGGCTATTATCGCCGTCTTAATGGCCGTTCTTACGGCGTCGGGAATCCTCGCGCGGCTCTTCAGAGTCATCCGGGGAATTCGTTGATTCTCCGACGGAGGCCGGAATACCGCAGGACGAGGAACATTATTTCTGTCCCGGGCTAAGCCAAAGTAGAGGGTCAATTCGATGAGGTTAGAGCCCGACGGTGCAACGAGACCACGACGATAGGAAAAACGCCGCATGGCGTAATGCAATAAAGTTCCCCCGGTCGAGGTCGGTTCGCCGCTTGTATTTCGGTATCGTGTAAATCCACAAAGCTATACCCATACCAGCCCCCTGGCATCCGTCCCCGGCTGTCGTCACACGAAATCCGTTGCCCAGGAAGCCGGTATGCTTCCCAGGCTCTATCCCGTGACTGGTAATTTACTTAGGCGAATTCGCTGCGGGATCGTAGGAAATGAAGCGGCCGTGTGTGTGTGTATGTGTGTTAATCGTTACTCGGCTAAATCGCTAGAAAAATGTTCCGTTCGCGGTGAAAATGGATCTTCACCGCTTCGGTAACGGCTGGACGTAAGATGAAAACGCGTTTGAGTACGTTTTGTTTCATTCTCGTTTAGGTTTATAGCCGTAAAATTTAATTACGGCTACAGAATTATATAGATATATTAAAGAAAAAGGGGAAAAAAACGATCTTCTAAGTGAGATATAAAGTAACAGGAATTTTATTTTTTTAACTAACCACGAAGCAAAATTAATCGAATTCTGGCGGTAATCAAACGAGAAGCGATAGTTTGAATATTTCCTCAGATTCATTAAAGGCCACTATCTTTGTAACCGAATAAAATTTATTATCGACTCATTAACTTGCCGCCGTGGCGACCGATGGCAAAAGGGCCCTGGAATTGCCTCAAGGTGGATCTAATTAAACTTTCGCGACACAGACTCGATCGAAGTGGTGGAATGTCGAAGTTCGGCCGCGAAACGGAACTGCTTCCTTCAAAATAGGAAAAGAAAATAAGTTAGAAGCTTATAAGGATGAACTACTTTACAAGAAGATATGTTTTCACGGTCTTCCAGCATCGTTGAACTAAAATTTATATTAAAGTCTGAAAAGTTTCTAAGACTTTCTAAGATTATTTAAGTGTGCGATGTCAAAATATTATATACCACAGTTTGAACTTCACCCTGTATGATCGGTCGGAAAATAATAAAATTTACATGAAAATTATGTTGATATTTACATTTGGCGGCGAAGAAGCTAACAAAAATATAGTTCGCGCGTAGGAATTTTACAAATATAGCTAACCATCCTCGTCAACAAATTCGGCCGCGGAACACGGGAACAACATTAGTAGTAACTTATGGTTGCGGCCTGGCTGAATGCCTGGCCCACGTTCATAGCGGTAGGCGGAGGATCGGAGCTGAAGGGTACGGAGGCGTGTAAGGTGGTCGGACTCTCCGGCTGCCACCGATGCTCCCTAGATGAGCGAGAAATCCTTACGGAGGTTAGTGGGTGGTGTTCTCCAACTTAGTTGGCGGCGACACGCCGAGTGTTCACGCCGAGTTTCCGTCCGGAGTTCCATCGGAGTTCAAGTCGAGTTCTCCTCCTCGCCGGAGGTTTCC